TTTTTTGCCTAAAGCGTATAAACCTACCAGTAAGACTTCTACACCTCCAACGATGTACATAGAGGCTGCTACGGTGTTTGCCAGATAAAAGAGGATACCAACAGCTGACCCAAACTCAGCTCCCAAATTGCGACTGAAATAAGAACCAAAAAATTGATTACGGATGCTATCTCTAGAAGTTTTGTTTGATTGGTATATATAGCTGAACTGAGGCAGAAATGTGTGACAGTGTGAACCTCAAGATTTGTTGCGCTTTTTGGAAAGGGGCTAGTAGCTGTTTTGTGCATTTTTTGAAGTCACTGCATTCCGGATTTTGAATTTGAGTTGCTCCAGACTTTTATCATTTCAATTTTTTCTTATTTCCATACCTATATGTTAATATACTTTCAGATTCACAAACATTTGGCGAAAGTATAACTGCTGCTCACCTGATAATGAAGTAAGCTCCTCCACTTTCGACAACTCCATTAGTGGCTACTGCTGACAAGGAGATGGAGGTGAGTAAAGTCTAAATTTTTCAAATGAGCTAGCCCGGTTTGAAGGGGTCTCAAATTATACTGAGTAAACTTTATGAGATGATCTCAATACTCAGCAAACTCACACATGAACAACATATAGCTAGTAGCACTAGTGTCCACCATAGTCCGGCCATTCCAACCACCCAAAAAAGTCGAATGAACATGGTAACACCAAGAATATGTTGAATCGTAGGTAGGTAGACACCAAGAAGAACTCCAAGATTCGCCTAAACAAAGCGGTGGTGAAATTGATTAAATTTGTAAAACTGCACGGTAAAATAACAGTAGCTAGTTACAATGGTACATTACAAGCGAGGTCAATTTTTCATTTTGGATTTTGTATTTTTGAATTTTGTTTCCTTCCGAAAACGGTAAGAGATACCAAAATCTGTACTTAAACTGAAGGTGTCAATCTATAAATTCTTGATCAAAAAAATCTTAGAACGTTTGAACCTAGTTTTTATGCTAACCTTCTTATGATCGCTTGTGGCCCTTTCCTTTGGGCCAGGTGTCGTGTAACCAGAGATAAAGGAAGCCGGTTGTCCCTCATCTTCAGGCCCTTTGTACAAAGCCAAATGTCCCAAAGTGGCTGTGAATTTCCGAGTTCCTTTGTACTCTTCCGGTGGTTCTTCTCCTATAGTATCAAGAGGAGCGGCAGGTTTTGAGCTAGCTGTAAATTCTATTCTACTTTTTTGAAAAGCACCATCCACCCGAATCCGAGGTGGATGATATTCTTATGCAGCACTAGCGAGACCATCCACCAAATAATTGCCCGAGGCCCGTGGCATAAGATGTATTCCGAAGAGAGAAATTCGCTTTAGAAAGTAAATGCCGCTGGGGTCGCCACGCCCACACCCATTGCTGTGTGGTCAAAGGCAATG